GGTTGAAGCATTTCTACTGCTTGTGTGAAAGGAACACAAGAACAGACAAAGTATAACGTCAGTGATCCATCCAGTTCCCCATCTGGCTTCCACCAGTGATGAAGGAAAGAAGTAAGGAAGTTTTCTGGGAGTAGCTGTGTGACAATTTCTCTCCAGTATACACACAGAGAGGCCTTTGCCAGCTTTTTGCCTTTAAGTACAGTGCCTAACTGCAGGCAGCACTCAGAACAAGAGAAATGGATGCAGTAAAACTCAGGTAGCAATACATTCACTCATGACAAACTTCTAGATTTTTAGTTAATTATTTAAACAGCCAATTTTAGACAAGTTTAAAGAAAGAAAACTTCTTAACATTTACTGCTAGCTAGTTAGTGAGGCGGTGTTTTCTCAGTACAGCTGCCCCCGTCACAAAATCTTTACCTTGAGAAGGTTGAGGTCTTATCTCTGCTGGTTTTACCACAGGCTGGTAAAGCTTCTGCATATTCAAAAAAGAAAGAAAAATTGTGAAATACCCTCTTGGTTTAACAGATATCTGATATACATATAGCAGTCAGAACAATAGAGAATGTGGTGGAATTATTTAGATCTAGAATGTATTAGAGGTACAGTTTATAGATACTTAGTTACTGAAAACAGCATTCTGGTCAATGCAGTCACTGTAAACACATCTTCAGAATCTGCTTTAGTTTGCAGAATTCCAATTATTAAAGCATGAGAACTGACATCCAGGCATTTTGGAACAAGCATTGCCACCTGCTGCACGATTGAGGAAACTGAGCTGCTCTGGCTTCTCAGGAGCCTTTCACAGAGCCACAAACTCCAACAAAGAGTACATTATGACAAAAAGCTAACGAAAAGAAAAGTACTTAAAACAATTACACTCTAGCCCTGCAATTACTTATATAAAACTAAGAACACTCTGCTTCACAAACTGTGAGTCTTGTGACCTCACATCACTTAATTGAGACAGGAAGTAAACTAATAATAACTGAATACAACTCAGGCTAAATTATATTAACAGTGGAATTAGAAGCAGCTATAACAGGGAAGAAGGAAACAAAGCAAGGCCAAGGGAACAGAAATTAGATCATCTGCAAGTTAGTGTTCTCCACTTCAGGAGCTGTCCCTCAACCTTCTTCAAGCAAAAGCAAGTAGGGGAAAGCTAATTATTCCTCACTGTAGTTTTGCCAGAGTTTTTCACAGTTCACACAACTTAGCAAGTTTGCAGTAACAGCTCCAAGCAGAAGAACAAACATGGCTTGCATTAGCCTCAAACTCTACAGAGCATATTGACTGAAAACCCATAGGATGATCTCTTGCTTTGGCTATTACAAGATCACCACAATAAATGAGTGGTTCTCTCCAGATAAATCACATCTTCATGGCTGCTCTTTATGCCTCAGAAAGCATCACTCAGCTAGCTATGGTCATGAAAGAACACAAGAAATCCTCAACCAAAACCAAAGAAATCACTTTGCAGAAATAGCTGAGAGATGAAAAAAAAAAAGGACCATTTACTGAGATAAACTAAGCTTTCCATATTTCTTACATATATTTCTACATATTCTTACAAGGATAAACTAAACTTTTGCAGACAATTTTCATCAAAACAATAATCTAGTTGTGGTGGTGTAAACTTTGAAGAGATCAGCAAGAGAAAAAAAGTAGCATGAGAGGCATTTCAAATAACTAATCTACTGTGGGACTCAGGTAGCAGAAAGGTTAAAAGGTCTTGTGTTATGCAATAGAATTTTTTATTTTACTTGATTTTTGTTTGTTTCTTTTACATACTTTATATACGGACAAAACAGAGAGATCATGAAAGGCGATGTATGTTAGAAAATATCTCATGTGTAAGACAGAAGTGTACCCATGCAGCACTTTTCCTTACCATAAATCATCTCTACCTGGCTAACCTAAAGAGTTAACATTTGTCAATTTTAGTCCTCAGAAATGCAATGCAAGCTCCTACACAACTTTCTAAAAAAATCACTGTCTTCTTTAGTATAGAACAGGGTTGTTTAATGATAGTAATTAATTTACACTGTGTGTCAAAAATCCCACAGAATTTACTGTGCTGATTCATTAATCCACACTGCCTCTTTTTCCATGCTTTACTGAAAGTCATTACTCCTTGTAGTTACCAGCTCCAAAAAAGTGCTTAGGAAGTCACTAACATTTTTTAAAGTCATACACTGCATGTGATACTATTTATCTGTACATAGTGTAACATTGAGTACCTCAACCAGCCCTTGGGCAAAGACTTCAGGAACTCAGAATATAAACAGGTGCCTACTGATTTGTAAATCCTGAATCACAAGGCTGAAGCAATCTGCTCCAGTTTCTTTGTGCCACAGACCCAATTCAGACACATTCACAAGGCTTTGTAGCAACCCTTAGTAGTTAGTAAACTTACTCTGTTTAACCCTTAGTTACTGCAGGATCAGTTAATGAAAAAAAGCAATTTCATTTTATAATAAAGAATCAAAAGCAACCATGGGAAGGAGCTTAAAGGCCAACACTGGATGACTGATTTCTTAATGCAAAGGTTTTCTGAAAGCCTTAAGTTACTCACCAACATCTCTTGCTCTGCTTTCATGGTTTGGATAGCATGCACCAGGATCTTTTTAGGCCACTGCTTACGCCTAGTTGCTGTCTCTACTATTAATTCATCAAATTGATCCTCCAGAATTTTAATATTGGAATCTGAAAGTGACAAACATATATAGTTACTGTGGAGTTCTCAGACCTTTTTTTTTTTTTGAGACAAACTTAAAAAGAAAAAGAAGCTTTAGATCTCAAATATAAAGATCATGCACAATTATCATCATAGATACACATGTATCTCTGGAATCTCCATGCTAAGGCAGTATAGAGACTGGAGCATAACTTGATGTTGGCCAGGTTTTTTGAAGTAAATGATCTGGGGGTGAGGGAGGCAGAGAACCATCTAGGGAAAAAAAAGAAAAGATGCATTTCTCTATGAACTCTGAATCTGTGAAGAAAGTCTTATGAAACAATGGCTATCTTTTAAGGAGAAAAATGGCTTATCTGTGTGATTTACAAGAATTAAACAAACTCCAACTGTACTAACAGTAACTGGAAGCCTAATTGATTTTATATCACCCAGTGCACAAATAAGCAGCTTAACATTTAAATTAACTGTTCCCACTAATGTGTTGAGTATAATTTGCAAGCCATGCAATGTTTTCAATCTAGTGGTAAAGAATGGATTTTGAGCACCCTCTCTGGGTCACTGTGCAGAATCAAGTGATTGCAAAACTCAGAAAGGAAAAGTCAAGGTTTTAAGTTTGTTTTGGTTGTTTGTTTTAAGATCACCATGAAACCATTTAAATATAGACAGGAAAGACTTAAGCCACTGGTCAACATAAACATGGAAAGCACAAAATGCCACATCTCTTGGTGACTCAAACTGGATCAGAGATAACAAACATGAATAAATCCTAATCAAATTAAAAAGCACAATATCCTTCTGTTATCCAATATCCTAAATCCTTACACCTGCTTTTTGCCAGCTGTGGGCAGGTGGCAGTGTCTCAGTTTTGCATCCGGAGATCAGTGCATTTTTGACCTTGTAGTCAAAGTAGCTGGAGTTTTATCATTCTAGAACTACACCTGAATCAGAGAAAAGTCTGGGTTGGAAGGGGCCTTTAAAGGTGATCTAGTCCAAGCCCCCTGCAATGAGCAGGTACATCTTCAACTAGATCACATTGCTCAGAGCCTCCTGACCAAAAAACCAACGTTTTCGGTTCAACAGCTCCATAGTTCACTCAATGCATCTGTATTTTCAGCTCTGTGTAACTGCAAAAAGCATCAAGCTCCAGGCAAAGAGCACCTAGTGCCAACACAGCTGAAAGAAACGCACAGAAATTTTCTTTGGACACCAGACTACCAAAAATTTCCACTACTATTATTCAAAAGACAGTAATTATAAATATATTGTTTCTATTACACATAGCAATAATTTTCAACACTTAATCTGTGTATTAAATAGCAGCAACAGACAGTCTCCTAGGCTCTTTTGATAGATCTTGGTCACATTTGATAGATCTTGGTCATTGCCCCCAATACTCAGGCTGGAAGGGCCCTCCAGAGCCTCCTGCTCACAGCAGGGTCGACGCCCATTTCCAAACAGCTTGCTCACAACGCTTTTGTCCAGATGGTTTTTGGAAGCCTCCAGTGCTGGAGATAAGCTCTGGGCAGCCCTTTCCCAAAGCTCTGTTAAACCTAAGAATAAGTTTATACTTCCTTACATCAAGTCAGAACCTCCCCTTTGAATCGGGCCCCTTTTACCTCTGGACACAACCAAAACAAAACAAAACAAAACAAAACAAAACAAAACAAAACAAAACAGAGCCGCCCAGCAGGAAGCGAATGGAAACCGCTGCTTACCGCTCTGCAGCTGCGACTCCTCCGAGGCCTCCTCCCAGGCCTGCCCGTTGATGGTGACGTTCGCCCGCACCGCTGTCTCGAAGTTCTGCAAGGCACGGGGCAGGCTGAGAATCCATCCATCCATGAATCCATCCATCCATGAATCCATCCACAGATCCGCACGTGAATCCATCCATCCCGCCCGGCCTCACCGCCCTGCCCGGGTGCCACCCCGGGACAAGCCGCCCCCTGACCGCGGGTGCCGAGCGCTGCCCGCCGGGCCCCGTGTCGGCTCAGCCCGCTCCCGTTCCCGTTCCCGTTCCCGTTCCCAGCTCACCCATAGCGCGTCGGCCTCGGCGGCGGCCCCGCCGGGCTGTCCCTGCGCCAGGGCCCGCACGAAGGGCGCGCACAGCTCCAGCAGCGCGCCCAGCCCGCGCCGCGAGCAGCAGCGCACCCGCGGGTCCCGCCGCGCCGCCCCTGCCGCCCCTGCCTCCCCCGGCCCCGGCCCCGCCGCTGGCGACGCCGCCATTTCCCGCCTGGGACGCGGGGAAAATGCCGGCCCGGAAGCGGAACCCGCGGCCGCCCGGTGCTTTCCCGCCGGGCGCGGCATGGCGGGGCCGGTGGACTGTCACTGCCACCTGGCCGCGCCCTGCTTCCAGCGGGTGAGGCTCGGCGGGCACGGGGGAGTCCCGGCGCGGCCCCGGCGCTGAGGCGGTGCGTGTCTCTTGCAGGACGTGGCGGCCGTGGTGCGGGCGGCGGAGCAGGTGAGGCGGGGCCGGCCTGAGGGGACCCTCTCCCCGCCGTCCCTCGGCACCGCCGGTCTCAGCGGGTCTCTGTGTGCCGCAGGCGGCCGTGTCGGCGCTGGTGGTGGTGTCGGAGCAGGCGGGCGAGTTCCGGAGCGTCGTGGAGCTGTCTGAGAGGTGCGAGGCCCAAGGGGATCCCGGCGCCCACCTCTCCGCGCCTTGGGGATTGACGGGGGATGCGCTGCCCTCCTCAGGCAGGCCGGCCCTTGTTGTCTTTAAACTTGGGCTCTCTGTGGGCTCTTAGGTTAAACTTAGGTTCTCTATGCTCTTTCCCACTCTCACTATCTATTCCGTGCCTAGATTCCCGGGGTTTGTCTTGCCATGCCTGGGAGTTCACCCCGTCCAAGAGGTTTCTCCAGAGGAGCAGCGCAGTGTTACACTGGAGGTAAAACACGGCCTCTAAAATACTGCTGGGACTTTTCAGGACAGACGACAGGATGCTCCGGTCTGCCTGATTTACCTTCTGGTCTGCCCAGTGGCTTTTCTGCACTCTATAATGCAGGAGACCCAGCGGGCCAAATCCCAGGCTCTCTCAGCACATCCATTTGTACATCCATTTGTTCCTGTTAGTCCTTAAAGCAGAATTGTTCACTGGAGTCATCTGGCTGTATTACTGCAGTGAAATGGTTTTAAAAATCCCAAGCGTGCTTTGCTTATAGCAAAGAGCATGTGCAGATGTTCTTTTGTTAACATGGGAACTGGAAGACAACTGTTTGTGGCCTTATCCTAAAAATCTTAAAGAGCTGTCTGCAGCCATTTAATGGTACCAAGCTGTTTATGGGCCTTGTTTTTATTTCCTCTGCTGGTATTGTGAAAAGTTAGCTTAGGGGTATTTAGAATAAGATTTATGTAGAGAAAGAGTGATAGATAGATACAGATATAGAATGTAATATGTAATGAAGTGGTTGTTAAGTAAAGATAAATCCTTCAGGCTTCTAAAATCTGACTGCACAGGTCACAGTAACGGCAAGTTCTAAAGTACGGGATTTCAGAACAGTAAAGGAAACACCAAATTAATCATAATGCTGTGTTCATAGCCCTTTCCTCTTGTAAGGGCAGTGAGAATTGCATCTTTCATTCTTGCAGGATCTGGATGCTGCGCTGCCTCTTATAGAACTTTACAAAGACAAATTGGTGGGGATTGGAGAAGTGAGTGGAATTTAATAACTTGTTTAAATCTCTCCAGGAGCAGCTGTCATTGGAATTACAAAAACTGAGTCAATGCTTGTTTTTTTGTATGTGGTAAAAATTGCTATCAGCCTGAACAAGCACTAAGTCTGATTGGTAGTTCTCTTAATGTGCTTTCCTTTATAGATTTGCTTGATTCCTTTTTTTGCCTTTGTTATCACTGTTAGAAAATAGATGGAATTTATGCTGCTGGAGTTGTTGAAAGTTTGCATACTTATGCTCTCTCGTGTTATACCAAAGGCAGATCCTTCCTGCCTTCTTCTCTGACAAAGTTAGGCTAAGCTGTGATTTCAATACACCACACTGACTTGTACAGTTCTTTTTCTTAATCCTTCATCTGTATCCATCTGTTGTCTCCTGTCTTACATTTGTTTATAAATGAATTGAGGCTTTAGGGTGGAGTCTGCCTCTATTTGTGTGTTAGTACCAGAGAGACTTATATCTGGTTCTGCACTTGCCACAGAAAAAGCAGGTTTTGGCAGAGTTTTGTAGCTAAATTTGCCATGCTGTGCTGTATATGAAAGACTTCTCTTTGTCTAACTGTGAATGGGACTGCCTTGACAAACTTTAAATTTTGCCTGGGCATGTGTATATCAAAAAAAGTATAGAATTAGTGGATAATTTTTGCTAGAGATTGGACTAAAGCTACGTGTTCAAGTCAGAAATTTTTCTTACGCTGCAGATCCATAGTTGAGACTTAATCTGACATAATATTCAATAGAATATAAACCCCCAGAAAACGAGTTACAGACTAAAATGTTAAATACCCTTGTTAGTAGCTGTCTGCCCACAAATGCTTTCATAGTTGAAAAGCTTATGGTTGAGAATACATTCTTTTTATGAGTTAAGCTGCAGCTGAGCTCATTTTAATTGCAGTGTCTAGGAAACATATTTTGAAATGCTTTGCAGTTTTGAAGCAATGTTATGCCTTTGTATGTCTAATTATGGTTTTGTTAAGTGTTAGGTCTGTAAAACTTTCTCCCTTCTCTTCTTATACTGTAGGTTGGACTAGATTTCACTCCCAGATTTGCCAGCACCGATGAACAGAAGGAAGGACAAAGACAGGTTTTGATCAAGCAGATTGAGCTGGCAAGAAGACTGGATTTGCCATTGTAGGTTTTGTTTATACCAGAAGGAGGATTTGCCAGGTCTCAGTAACATGTCGAAATACTTGCCAGGATTTGTGGTTATTCAGTGCCCACAGAACTTTGCTTAGGTGGATTAAACTGGCATAAGTGTCCTATCAGTCTCCAGTTTGATATTTAATTATAGAATTTTCTTTATATTTGCACTTCTGTACAGACATCTTATGTGCCCTGTCCATGCTATGTTGTTCTTCACTGTAGCTGAAAGGATTCATATATACATCCCTGGGGTTTTTCCTTGATAAAAGTTGTAATACAGATTAATTATTTTCATCCCAAGATACTGTTGGTTTGTTTGTATTTGAAAAAAAATGGTATTTGGCTAAATTTTCTAATGCTGGGCCTCTCCTTGCTGTGCAGAAATGTTCACTCCCGCTCAGCTGGAAGACCAACCATTAATCTCTTGAAGGAACAAGGTATGCTTTTAATGCATTTCCTCTGCCGTGGCTTTTGCTGACAGGATTTCTCCAATTGTGCCATGTCCTCACATCAGTTTGTGTGTGTTTAACCCAGGAGCAGTAGTGCAGAGTTTCTGTGTTAATTCTCTGTGGGACCAAGGTCCCATTGGAAGCTGACACAGCAGCCCTGCTGTAACCCTGCTGATGATGTGGTTTGCTTTGTTTCTCCGAGGTGCTACCAAGGTGTTGCTCCATGCCTTTGATGGGAAGCCGTCTGTAGCCATGGAAGGGGTGAAAGCTGGATACTACTTCTCCATTCCTCCTTCCATTATAAGGAGTGAACAGGTAATGTTTTGTCCCAAATCTGGCTAGGGGCTGCTCCTTCTCCATACATTGCACATTTTTACTTTGGCTGAATTTCTGCCTGGGGCTTTTGACATAACTGGACTTTGGTGGGGGAATTCTGGCTAAAACAGCTCAGCTATTCCTGAGAAACAGGGGTTTTTTTTCTCATTTTATTGTGGTTTCCGGTGAACTCTTCTTTGGAAGATTCTGTCACTGTACTGTTTTACAGTAGGGGCATGACATGTAGAGAAGGAGTAGTTTTTGTGATAGGACTGCTTTCTGTGATAAGCTCAGGAAATGTAAGAGAGGAAAAAATTTGATTTAAGTGGAGGGAGCATGGGGGTGGATATAAATGGGCATGAGGTTAGGTACTTAGGAGGAAGGAAAGCAAACGGGTTGAGACGTAAAGCAGAGAGGAGGAAAAGATACAAAATATTACATGCACAGAAAACAGCAAATTAGATTGCACTGGCAACTCTATAACTGCATGATTTAATAAATTACAATGAATTCAGAATTCAAGATAATAGTACTTTGGATATTTAGAAAACAGGAGAACCCCAATTTCAAGGGACCTCTTGAGCAGCTCTCTGTTTTTGCTTCCATTCAGAAATTATTAATAAAAAGTAAACCGTGGCACCACAGTCTTGTGTTATTGCCTTTAAATGTAGGGGATATCCTCCCTTCATGTTTTTCCCCCAGGTTTAAGTGCATAAAGCATTTAATGGCTGTCTTATTTTCTTCAAGAAGCAGAAGCTTGTGAAACAGCTGCCTCTGGAAAATATGTGCTTGGAAACTGATTCTCCTGCTTTGGGGCCTGAAAAACAGGTGAATGATGGGAGGGAGCGACTTCTGTGCACTTGTATCCAAACCTAGACCTTGTGGAGGTCAGCTACTGGCACGGGATAGTTAAGTAGTCTAAGCCTAAGCGTGGTGATGAGAGAGGAAAAGTGGCTACCAAGGGCACTTAATCCAAGAGGAATGGATACATGTCATTTTCCTGCCTCACGTGTGCTACAATGTGACTAAAGTTGTGGCAGAAAGTACTGAATCTGAAACGCCTGTGATCTCTAGGGGTCTGTAATTTGGTTGGTTTGTTTGTTTTTCAGGTAAGAAATGAACCCAAAAATATTTACATTGCTGCTGAATACATTTCCAAAATTAAAGGAATTCCAGTTGGAGAAGTTATAGAAGTGACTACACAGAATGCACTAAAAGTATTCCCCAAACTTCAGCACTTTCTTCGGATATAGACTCAGAAACGGAAATATATGATGTTGCAGAAAGTACTGCTTTTGGTGTAATTAATAAAACCAACATACATCTTGTGTTAAAGTGGAGTTTTGTGGTTGGAAGTTCAAGAAGCAAGGAGTGTTATGTAGCTGGATAGGATGAAAATAGGGAATTTCTCAAAGGCCTTTGGTGTGCATTGTAATAAATCTCTTCAATGTGATAAGGGCACATTGTTCCTTTGCATCTCTTATGTCTCTGAACAAATAATTTTTGAAGTAAAGCACCATAAAATTGTCAGTTTAGCTTCTCAGACTGGTTGCCAGCTGCTCCTAGTCTGGGAGTACAGTACTGTACAGTCTTTGATGTCCCCTTCACTCCTCATTTCTGCTGACTGAAAGTCACAAATTGTGGACCCAATCATGATCAGAAAGCTCCTGTTACAACTGGCAGACTGACTGAACCATTAAAAGGACCCAGATGGGTGGACATTCTCTATATTCTTGCTGACTGGACTCAGTGGTGCAGAAGCAACATCTTTTCAAAGTACAGTTGGAAGGAAAGAATTATAGCCCTTCTACTCCTTTTCCCACGTATAAAGTAATAGTTGCTAAGATCTTGGCTACTTTGAGAAGGATTTCCTTGGATTTTTAAAATACTTTTATTTTTTTCTTTGAATTGTGTTCAGTTCAAGGACTCAGTCTTCTGACTGCTCAGAATGAGGAGATACAGGATGGGAAAGGGAGACAAGCTCAATTTTCTGATGTCTTGGAGGTGGTCTCTGTGGATTCAGCTATGTTGTCCAGTGTCCTAAAACAATCTGGTGCTCCCTCATAGCACCTGTGTCATGTGGGCCTGTGAAATACTGATCAAAATTTTATTGATTATAAGCCAGCAATTGAATGAGGTGGGTTTTACATGGCACCCAGCTGTTCTGAGGGCCACTAAAGAAGTGGAGGTTTTCTCTCGTTTACCAGGTCAATGAAGAAAATGCACAAGCATTAACTTAGTTCATGACCACCTCAGGGGAGGCAAAGGGCCACAGCTTGCAATGTAAGTGATGCCCCATCCTAGAGTTTTGTTTTTCTCTATGTTGTCTTCCTTAGTTTCTTAAAATCACATTGTCAGGAGGTTTTTTTGCTGTCTTTATCAGAACAGCTCTGTTCTGCCTTTTGACTAGAGATAGCTTCGTAAGTTTAAACATGTGTTCCTAAACAGTTTTCAGCCTGCAGCAAACAACCAAACTTGCACAATTTGTCTCTATTACAACGTGTGTTTAGAGCAGCAAACACCTGAATCTTTGCTGAGTGTTTGATCCAGAGGAAATAATTCCTTATCGTGGATCTACAGGCACCATTTCCACTAAATGGGGTGAAGGATGGAGTTTGCCTCCAGGTGGTGCTAGGGAACAGGTGTGCAATAGTCAGAATACTAGTGTGATTCACTCAATGATTAATAACCATGTAATTGGAGATGCTAAATGTGTGGTAGATACCAGGCAGCCTTACATGTGCTTCCTGCTGCCTGTGTGTTAGGAAGTCTCCCAGTATTGCTTGGAAATGCAATTATGTGAGGAGATGCTCCAGGTAAGAAGTTAGGCAACATCCAAATGTTTGCAAAGTTTTGACTTAATTATTTTTCTCTATGGAATCCCTAGCATTGGATGAAAACACTGGTTTTGCAAAAAGGGGGAATATTAAGTAGTCTTCTCAAAATCCCTGTGTCTGCAGGGGTGTGGCATTGCTCTGATTCAGCCTTAGCCTTGCAGTAGGATGATTCCTGAGTGTTTGAATCCCTTTTGCTGTGCCAGAAACCTTCGACACACTCACATCCTGCAGCTCCGGTGTGGGCAGGGCACTGCTGAGGCTGGGCAACCCCCAGGGGCCGTGGGGCTCTGGGGCAGCCTGTGTCCCTGGGCCCTGCAGCAGGCCTGGAGCTGCTTTTGGTGGTGCAGGAGCGTGGTTGAGGCTGGTGAAGGAGGCTTCCCCTGGGCTCGGGAGAGCTGGCATTGCAGCAGCCATGGGCAGGGTGAGGCTGGCAGGGGGCCCATGGCAAAACAAACCGGCTTTGTCCTCTCCTTAGACCTGCGGCGCCGGAGCTAAGTCATGGAATAGGTGACGTAGAGTTCCAGAAAAGGAAAATGCAGTGTCACTCCCACCCTGCCTTGGCATCCCTGACACAGAGCAAGGGTCAGAAGCAGCACCCTTTTCCCAGTGCTGCTGGTTTGGCTGTGTAAGTTGTGCCCCAATCCCTGCAGTCAGTGCTGGGGGTAGGCAGCAGACACTGGAAATAAAGCTGTTGCTCTGCATGGGAAAATCTTAAAGGTGCTCACTCAGGATTAATGGTACTGCTGTGCAGTGAGGAGGAAGTTTTTGAGCTGGAAAACATCACTGATCCTCAGCAGTCACTCTAATTTTATCTCAAAAGGGGGATTTAACAGAAAGCTTGGATTTCTGCCTGCATTCCCAGGCTAACACCTGGCCTGGAGAGGCTGAGGAAGGCAGGATGCCTTTGGGAGAGCTGCGTGGCTGCACACTGTGAAGCCCTCCATCCCCACAAGGTTGGTCTGAGCAACATCAGCGTGTGTGCTGAACCCTGTTGCAAGCCTCTCAGGGTGTCTGGATAAACTGTGCCTTCCCCTAGGTAACACAGGAGACTGAAGTGGCCAAGGATGTATTGGAGGAAGGACAGTGCAGATTTAATTTTTGGGAAAGTTAGTGGTGACCTAAGTTTTCTTTTCAGCAATGCCATCAATTTTGGAGGTCACACATAGCCCAGGTGATCTCCATCTCAGAGAGAGAAATGGCACAGATTGCAGCAATGTGGAAAGTGGAAGGTCTCAATCTCCTTCATACCTTCAGCCATCAGCTTTCCTTGGGATGATACAAACAGCAGATCTGGTTGCACTTTGCAGGACTCCCCATACCATTTTACCTTGCAGGATGCACATGAAGTGATAAAAAACCAAGAAGGGGCTCTATCTGTGGTCACTGAAATAGTCTTTGGAGGGCTGCAGCTCGACCACTCTCCCAGGGCCTTTCTTTGAAATTTGTTTTTAACCATGGATTAACAGAGCCTGAATCTCCTGAACTCTGGGGCAAAGTTTTTCCAGAATGTGACATGGGAACAAGTGAGGAGATGGTGATGAGGCCAAGTGGATGCTGCTTATTCCTGCCGTTTGTCATGATAAGAGTTTAGACAGATTGACTAAAGACTTACTGCACGTGCTTCCAACAGACTCCTATGCAATGCATAGATAGGCTCTTAAGAGGCAAAAACAAATAAATAAATGCCTGGAAATGCAACTTTCATCACTTATGAAGTTCTGCTTTTGTTTGTTTTTTCATTAATGCAGGCTGGGGCTTGATATTCTGTTCCCATTACAGAGCAGGAAAGTGAATTTGAGAAAGTCACTGGCTTAGCATAAAGCTTTATTGTTCTGCTCTTTGCTTTCTATATGCAGTACAAAGATACCACTGAGATCAAAGAAAGGATATTAATTGCCATAGCACCCATTTGTCTCAACGTTTTCCTTTTCAGCAGGTGGTTATCCATCTGTTCATTTTCCCTGCTGGGGCTGGCTTTTCTATTGGTGCGAATCTCTTGGGGGAGATTATAAACCCTGAGTGCCGTGGGTGGTGACCTCACCATGCAGTGAGTGCTGAGTGCCTCCTCCAGGAGCTGGTGGATTTTAATGCCCCTTTGAGCTACTGTGAATGATAAAACAATGAGAAGCCATAGTGAGGATCATGGTCCTGATGAAGCCTGGGGCAGGAGCTGATACCCTTCTCCCCAAATGCTTGGTGCTGTGAACAGAGAGAGGCTGCTTGGTGGGAGCACAGGAGATCAGTGCCACTACCCTGCTCGGGTTTGCTGATGAAAATGGGGATGGGGTTCCCCTGTGTGTCCCTGCCTCCTCAGCCCCCAAATGTATCCTGATCCATCACTGGGTGTGCTGGGGTTCATCCCATCCCGAGCACAGCAGATGGGCAGTGCAGCACCACAGTCCAGGTGAGGTGCCCACGCGTATTTTGTATTTCTGCAACAGTGTGGACACTGGGTTTAATTTTTCAGTGTTCCCATATGGACTTTGGATTCACTCTTTTGGCTGTGCAGGGCTGTGTACTTTGTCATCCAAGAGTGCCAATGCATGCTGGGTTCCTTGTCAGTGCCCAAACACACCTTAAAAGTGCATGATGCAACATGATCGAAGTTGTTTCACAACCAATAATGTTTTTTGCCCCAAGGATTTTACCACAACAATCCCAATCTCCTACATGTCCTGTGATGCTCCCATTTCAGCCCAGCACTGCCAGTGCTGTATTTATTTCCAGCTCCAGGTGTGTCTCCCTGATCTCTGTGATCTCTGTCAGGGTACCACCAGCTCCTTCATGTACCTTCTGGGCTCTGCCCAACACAGCACCTTTCTTCTGTGTCCCTGTGACCTCTCTGTAACTCCCCATCTCTCTTCCATGGTGCCTCCCCGAGCCTGTTGGATTGTCATTTAGGCAAGATTAGTCTGGGTAGATCATATTGGGATAGCTGCTGGCATCAGACTCAGCAGCTCAGTGCGTGACTCCTCTTGGTGGCCTTGAGAGAGAATGGAGACAGTGTCATCTACCTGTCCACAAACTCCCACAGACCTCCTAGGGACTTTGTACCTCCAAGACCTTCGTCTGTTTGCCAAATTTTGTTGACCATTGTCAAAACCTCTGAGTTGTAGATGCGGACTAAGGGTCAGCATGACCGTGTTAAGTGAATTCCATAGAAATGTGTGTACATGGGATGCTGCATCTCCTGGGTGGAATCAGACCTGTTGCTTGGAGCCTCCTAGGTCTGCTCAGCCTATGAGCACTGATGAAGATGAAATGGATTTGGGGTTATCTAGCAGGAAGGTCTGTCTTTGTGAAGTGCACTGCCTGGAGAGGGCAGCTTTGAAGTGCTGATTGGCACTGGCTTTATTGTTATAAACATATAGAGGGAGCATTTTTGTGCTCAGATCATTTCTGGACACACAACAAAGGGGGAGGAAGCAAACAAATGGAGTGCTGTGGGAACAAGTTAAATGGAGCACCATGTAGGGAGTTCCAATCACAACATCACCAGGTAACTTCCCGTTTCTCTAGGAGTCATTATTCCTGACTGGAAAAGTCAGGGTGGAAACTCAGCTCTGTACTACACAGGACCTCTGTGATGAGTTGAAGCAATGAAGTGCTAATGAAGAGC